CCCCCTCTCTCCTTATTTATTTCAGAACCCCCTTCCCCTCCCCCATTTCTGAAGAAGGGCCTCGGCCCAAAACGTCAGCTTTCCTGCTCCTCTGATGCTGCTTGGCCTGCTGTGTTCATCCAGCTCTACACCTTGTTATCTCTGGTTAATTGCTAATTTGAGTTACAAGATCTATGTTACCAGAGCTATTCTTATGCTATCGCAATAAATCCTGCTCAAATGGTTATCCTATGTAGACTGGAAGAGTTGAATCTGATAAAGTTGCTTGTCTGCCAAAAAAATCTACTGGACTCAAAGTTGAAATGTATTCAATAGTTTTTCTTTGAAAGCTATTATTAAAAATTTAAGCACCAAAATCAAAGTGCCGGTCAATAAAATAAAACACAAATGGATTGGAATGTTTACTTCAGAGGGTGGCTGGTGCTTGTTTGTTCAGTATATTCAAGCGAGAAGTTGATAGATTTTTTGATACAGAGGGAATTAAGGAATATGGAGATAGTGTGGGAAAGTGGAGTTAAGGTAGAATACCAGTCATGGCCTTAATGAACGAAGAGCAGACTCAAACGAAGGGTTGAATAGCTTACACCATCTCCGATTTTTTATATTATTCCTGAATCACAAGTCAGATAATGGTTTATATTTGGCTTTGATAATGACAGATTGCAGACATTTGATGTGCACCCAAATCTTGGGACGTTCTATGTGAAGAATAAAACATTCTTGGACAGAGAGAAGAGACAGCAGTTTTTTGTCACACTGCAAGCTAGAGATGGTGGAGGACTTGCAACCAATGTACAGATAGAAGTTTCCGTCTCAGATGCAAATGATGAAGTACCCATTTTCCAAAGAAACAGTTACGCTGGATTCATTAAGGAAAATGTAATCAAAGATATTGTCCAGGTTCAGGTACGAAGCAAATTCCAATGAAATATTTTTGTTTTTGAATGGGTCATGATGTGCTTGTGATGTTGAGGTCCATAGGAAAAAGGCAAGAGTGTAACACAATGTGATTTTTCACATCTGGAATATTGCAGAGCTCTATTCAGATCTTCTGGATAGTTGGAGGTTTCCAACTGACTTCTGAAGAGTTCTGAAGAGTTAACCATAAAACTGAATGACACACAGAGTCCAAATACAATACCTAACTCACACTTGAGCCTACACATCAGTCTTCCTTCCCGACACCCAAACAACCCTAACAGCTGTGCTCTCAACCTGGAACCTGACCCTGCCCCATCTCTGTCCCACTCCAACAATGGGGACATCAGACTCAAAAAGTTCTGGGAAGGTAGTTAGACAACTTTGTCCAATCTGGGTCAAAAACGGGGGTTCCGATTGAGATCAAAGGATTTGGGGCAGTAAGGGGGATTTTTGGTCCCTTCAGTCTGGCATTACAGGAGACACAGATATGCTAAACAGCATTGATGTGAAGATTCCTCTTCTATGCTGAACAGCGCAGACTCATCCCAATTCATGTTGTTGAACATCAGACGAGCTATAATCCTTATAATCAATTTTGGGGTGACACAGTGGTTCAGTGGTTAGCGTTGCTGCCTCACAGCACCAGGGACCTGAGTTCAATTCCAGCCTTGGGTGACTGTCTTTGTGGAGTTTGCACGTTCTCTGCATGCCTGCACAGGTTTCCTCTGCTTGTTCCAGTTTCCTCCCACAGTCCAAACATGTGCAGTTTAAGTGAATTGGCTGTGCTAAGTTGCCCATAATGGTCAGGGAAGTGCAGGCTAGGTGGACTAACAATGGGAAAGGCAGGGTTATAGGGATAGGGTAGGGGGTGTGTGAACTCAATGGGCCGAATGGCTTGCTTCCACACTGTAGGGAGCCTATACTTCTATAAATTCATACCAGAGACTGATTTGTGTCTGTTAACGCAGAACATTTTGGTGTACTGCCCAGCACTGTAATCTGATAATAGATGGGTATATTTCAGTTTACCCCACTTGGACACAGAATCCAGGGTTAAAGAATAGACATGGCTATGCAAGTTATGAAGATCTGTTGAAACCAGCATAACAACTGCCCTGTATTTTAAGGGATAGTCCTTTATTTTACCAATTTGTCCAGCCTCTCATCCATTATTTCTCAGACAGCTGCTTAGAGACTGATCCTGAAAATCTCCAAAGTGAGTTAGAATGTTTTGAGTGAGCCTGTAAGTGAGACAGCAAGCAGAGAATGACTTCAACAAGATATATTATAGGTTTTTGTTGTTTTTAATTCCCTGGTTCACATGCCCCTGTTCACATACTTACCAACCACCACCCCCACTCCAGACCTCCTCACATTCTGCTACCCCTGGCTCCCTGATTGGAGTTTCCCTTATTTTGTTTCCAAAGTATCGGTTATTCTGGTTTAAACAAAATCATGTCTAACTGTTAAGCAATGTCTCTCTAGCCTTCCTTAAATAAAAGAAAAGACAGGATCAACCTACAGAAAGTTCTTGAGACACTGACCTTGACTTTTTTTTGGAAATGGTAAAATGTAAATCAACACTCCCTCAGGTAAAATAGTCATGAACCAGAACAATAATATGTCATGCCTGGAGTTTCCAGCCCCATTTTCTTTCTTACTCCTCTTAACCTAATAATCATATGTTTTTACATGGTCACACTTAATTATGCAATAATATAAAAGAGTTGGTTACTTTTAGAAAATGAGGTGTCTCATTCACCAATAGTTAAAATTGATCATGGGCATTAATGTAGAGTGATGACAAATCAGTAGCCATTTTATTACTTGTGCGATCTACTTTTCTATGTGTATGCTGTTGCTAACAATACAGAAGTAGGGTTTTGACTCTCATATTGCTGGGACCAATTTGAGCTAGGTTCAGTTCCAATAAAATGTGAACTGTCCACATAATTACCCAGCTATCTTCAGGTAAGGTGAAGTTCCACACAAAGGTGGTTGAATGCATTTGTTGAATTGGCTCAGATCAGTTAACACTTAGCCACTAAATCACCAGGAGTGCTGTTAGCCTCCAGATACACTGCAGCTGTTTTAGCCAACAGTTGACACAAATTTGAGTCATTAACAAATCAGCTTTCAACTTCCAGTAAGTGTGATTTGTGAAAGGCTGTGACTGCTTCACTGTTCTTGGACTTTCATCATTCACAGGCTTTTGACAGGGACCAGGAGGGTTCCCCGAACAGTAACATCATTTACTCAATCATCGAAGGAGATCCTGCTAAACATTTTACAATCAATAGTTCCACTGGAATAATATCTGTAGTCAAACCATTGGACAGGGAATCCATGGATGGTTCTTTGAATGGAATTATCAATTTAACTGTGCAAGCCAGAGATTGTGGTAATCCTGCACATAGCTCGACAGCACAGGTTGCCATCAAAGTGGAGGTATGACATGAAACAATGATTTTTTTTTTGTTCTCTCCATTTTCTAATAGAAGTGTCACTTTTACAGTGTCTGAGTGGAATTCCAATGGTAATGCTTCAGTTGTCTCAAGACTGGAGCACATTTCTGATATTTGACTGTTAACCTTTAAGGTTGCTGCTTAGCTATCTCCCTGTTCAAATCCAGGTCACTGCAAATGCTTTTTAAATTCCACAGCTCAATTAACGTCCAGCAAATCTCAGGCTCTGAGATTAAACAAATGGCCTTTTTTTCAAAGTTGACTCACATCTGTAAGGATTCAGAAAATTTTCTTTTGAAAAGAGCTCTCCCCAGAGAAATATTTTTCTTTTTTTTAAAATGTTGTTGCAATTGGTTGCTGGAAAATTAATTGGGCTTTCATTCCATTATGGGCCGGGGCAGGTGGAAAGTAGTCAGGCCGTTTACTGAAGCAGGAACTTGGAGAAAGGTAAATGGGTTCCATTGTGACTTTAACCGTTTTGTGTCACTCAGAATCTTCAGTGATGAGAAATAGGCTGTTGCTTCTGCTGTTTCCTTGACCCGTCACCAAAACCATGGTTCAGGTGAAGTCACAGGCTAATGTGGGAAATTATGTATATTCTGCCATTTTAATCCTGAATTAACTAGTTGGGTGACTAAAATAATTTGCCTGGTTTCTCATCCTCAAAACTGGAATTGCATGGACTATTCACCTAGTCTGCAACCCAGCCAGATGCCAGCTAGTTCCCATGCACACTAGCTTAATGGGACAGGCAGGCTGGAATGATGGCCATCACCTCCCAAAGCAGGTTGGAGGCAAATTCGAAGCGACACTTCGGTTTGTTGGAACATTGTCCAAGTCAGTCACTGAGTGTGAGGCTCTCTAAAACCCTCATACATCTCCTATTCCCCTCACCTCCCCACCTTTCTATGGTGCAATTCATGCCCCATACCCTCTTGACTTCCCCATGTACACTCCGTATCTCCATGGCCTCTCCATGTCTGCACCATATCCTCATGACTTCTCCATGTTTGCTCCATACCCTCATGACCTCTCCATACCCTTAGTGTGCACTTTGTACCCCATGACTTCCCCATGCCAACTCCATACTGCTGCTAAGATTCCTCATGTGTCTCTGTACCCCATGACTTCCCACACCTACTCCATATCCCCATTCCCATTCTGTACCCCAGTGTTCTACTCCATACCCCTATGATTCCCCCATGCCCATGAAGCTGACATGGGGATCAGGGGTTATAGAGGGACAGTGAGGTACAGAGTGATTTCTCCATGCTTACTGCCCACTCTATCCCTTATGATCCCCCATGCCCATTACATATCCCCATGGCCCCAAAGCTAACTCTTTCAAACTCCAATGCTCACTCCACATCCCCACAACCTCTTATGTCCATGTTTTATTATGTTAAAGATGTTGTTCCTTGTTACCAATCTTACCTCTGGCTCAGAGGCTTTGGATTTGGCTCCAGAAGCTGGCTTCTTAGTTTAGTCTAATCTTCAAGCATGGTTTGAGAGAATTCTTCATAAACATAAGCACTTAAATAGGAGCAGGAGTAGGTCATCAGATCCATAGAGCCTGCTTCACCATGGAATAAGATCTTTTCATGGACTCAGCTCCACTTACCCACCCACTCACCATAACACTTAATTCCTTTACTGTTCAAAAATCTATCTTTGCCTTTAAAACATTCAACAAGGTAGCCTCAACTGCTTCACTGGGCAGGAAATTCCAGATTCCCAAACTTTTGAGTGAAGAAATTCCTCCTGAACCCAGCCCTAAATCTGTTCCCCTTTATTTTGAGTATATGCCCCCTAGTTCTAGTTTCACCCACCAGTGGAAACAACTTCCCTGCTTCTCTCTTATCTATTCCCTTCATAATTTTATATGTTTCTATAAGATTCTCCCTTATTCTTTTAAATTCCAATGAGAATAGTCCCAGTCTACTCAATCTGTCCTCATAAGCCAACCCTCTCAATTCTGGAATCAACAGAGTGAATCTCCTCAGTACCCCCTCCTGTGCTAGTACATCTTTTCTCAAGTGAGGAGACCAAATCTGTACACAGTACTTCAGTGTGACCTCACCAGCATCCTATACAGCTGCAGCATAACCTCCCTGCTTTTAAACTCCATCCTCCTAGAAATGAAGGACAATATTCCATTTGCCTTCTTAATTACCTGCTGCACCTGCAAACCAACCTTGTGATTCATGCACAAGGTCACCCAGGTTCCGCTGCACAGCAGCATGCTGCAATTCTTCACCATTTAAATAATAGTCCATTTAGCTGTTATTCATACCAAAATTGATGACCTCAAATTTATCAACATTGTACTCCATCTGCTTCACCCTTGCCCACTTATTTGACCTACCTATAGAGACAACACAGTATGGAGTTGGAGGAATACAGCAGGCCAGGCAGCATTAGAGGAGTAGGAAAGCTGATGTTTCAGTTCAAGACCCTTCTTCAGAAATGGGGGAGGGGAAAGGCACCTGGGAAATAAATAGAGGGAAGGGGTGGGACTGGGGAAGGTAGGTGGAATGTGATAGGTGAGTGCAGGTAGGGATTGGGCCAGTGAGGTGGGAGGAGCAGATAGGTGGGAGATAAGATGGACAGGTTGTGTCAGGCTTGGGGTGGGGAGATTTTAAAACTGGTGAATTCTATGTTCAGGCCACTGGGCTGTAGGCTCCTGAGGTGGAATATGAGGTGTTGCTCCTCCAGTTTGCAGGTGGTGTCATTATGGCACTGGAGGAGGCCCAGGATTGACACGTAACCGTGGGAGCGGGAGCGGGAGCGGGAGCTAAAATGGTTGGCGACCAGAAGGTGTTGTCATTTGTCATGTACTTAACCTATCTATAGCCTTCTGCAGACCTCCAGTGTCCTCTGCACACTTTGCTCTAAGACTCGTGTGAGCAGCATTCTGTTGGCTCAAAGTTTAGACTGAGGTTCTGGCTACCTATTGAGGTAAAAGATCATATTGCATTGTTTAAAGAAGAACAATAAATTATTAACCGATATAGGAACAGGAGTAGGTTAATCAGCCCCGTGAGCCAGTTTAGTAGATTCTTCAGGATCTTTTCTATGAGAATATTCAGGTAGTTTACACATTCACCACTCGGTCAGCCAGTGCCTGCTGCCATTAAAGATGTCCCTGCAAGGTCATTCCATAAAGTTATTCTGGGGCTTAAGCAGAATTAACTGCAGCATCTATTTCATTATAGCACTCCTCATGGAGCGTTAGACACTCATCAGGCTCTCAATGTAATACTTAGAGCAAAACTCTTTAGAAACTTAAGGCTCTGCTCCAATAAAAGCAACTTATCCTTTGGGGAATATTTTAATAATTCAAGAGAGAAACTAGGTAGATCTATTTCTCCTTTTATCTATTTTTGATAGCTGGTCAAGCAACAAGAAATTAAGCTCTGTGCAAAGTATAAAATTGATCAATTATTCATAGACCCTGTCTTATCAAAGCAGTCTGATCGGTTGTGCGTATTGAGTTTTACTGACACAGTAACATTGCTAGTGGCAAGTTTTGTAAGACAGCTCACCTTTTCTAGATCTGTTCACATAATTCTTTGTCCATTCTATTTTGACTTTAGAAAAATGTTGAAAAGCGTGTCTTTTGTTAAAATCTTACCATCACTCTGACTTACCATTGACTGTCAAATCTATTATCGCGTTGCCTGCAAGCACAAGAGCATTTTCATGTCAATAGTGAGGTTGGAAGTGACAGTTCAATTGTACAGTCTTAGTCAGATCTCATCTAGACTATTACCTTCCACTTTCTGTACTAAATGTTGTGTCAGGCTTTCAGTACCTTGGAGCAACCTTGCAATGATGTCACACAACTGCTTCTCACTTGGTATAAATAGCACAGTGTGGGTGAAGTTAAAAGAGGGAAAAATGCAGAGATAGTTAGGCAGAAGCTTGAAATATAGCCACATGAATGTTAGAAACATGTGCAAAGAAACCTGTGGAGTAGACTGACTAACATTAGGCAGTAGAGTTCATGGAGCAGATTTTCAATATTATAACAATATGATTATAGGCTGGTATATCTCTAAATACCATGTTTTAATATGTAATTACAATATTATAAAGACCTCTAAGCCTGAATACAAACCATGTCTTGCTTTTCCTTGATCAGAAAATAATCAAGAAGGCTAATGGAATATACCCAGAGGGCTGGAGTATAAGGTTGCAGAAGTCATGCTGCAGCTATACAAAACCCTGGTTAGACCACATTTGAAGTACTGTCTGGGCACCACACCTTAGGAATGATGTTTTAGCCCTGGATGAATTTCAATGCAGGTTTGCAAGAATGAAACCTGGACAACATTAGTTAAGTTATGAGGAGAGATTATACAAATTAGGTTTGTCTTCTTCTAGAATTTAAAGGTCAAGGGGTATTCTGAGCAAAATCTTCAAGATTTTAACAGGAAATGACAGGATAGATAAACTATTTCCACTTGGTCAGAAATTCTAGAACTAGAGGCATAGTCCAAGAATTAGGACCAGATCTTTCGGGAGAGGATTTAGGAAGCACTCCTATACACAAAGGGTGGTGGTAGATGTTTGGAGCTCTCTTCCACAAATAGCAGTTGATGCTAGAGATGTTGTTGGTTTAAAATCTGAAATAGAAGTATTTGTGTGAAGCAAAGATATTGAGGAATATGGGCTAAGGGCAGGTATATGGATTTAGGCCACAGATGGGCCACGATTTTATTAAATGGGGGAACAGGCTGAAGGGGCTGAATGGCCTACTCCTGTTCCTCTGTTCATGTGTTACTATGTTCCAGTCAATATCTGCCTTGACTCCAAGCTCATGAATGTGGGAATAAAATCCACACAACAAAAGGCCAAATCTTGTTGCGGGGTAAGGTGCACCTTATTGATATTGGAGTGGGTGCAATATAAAATGAGCAGAATGGTTTTGGATGCCATGGTAATTGAAATTTTCAAGACTGGGACCAGCGGATTATTCAGCAGGTCTGGCACCAGACCCGAAACATTAACTCTGATTTTTCTTCACAGATGCTGCCAGACCTGCTGAGCTTTTCCAGCAACTTCTGTTTTTGTTCCTGATTTAGAGCATCCATAATCCTTTCGGTTTTTACCAGCGGATTATTGATGGGTAAGGGATTAGTTCGGAGGATTTGGACCATAGTCAAGAAAATGCAGCTAAGTACAGATCAGCCATGATCTAACAGAATGGCAGAACATATAATAGGGGCTGAATGGCCTACTACATCTCCTACTTTCCTGAAACTTGTATGGTACATAGTTGTATAAATTACTGTTTCCTTTCAATCAAAAGGTGAAAGGGGAGGTGGTGAAATAAGGTGGAACACTGCAAAACATTAAAACTTAGTACCTGGTAAGTGTATTTTGTTGAAATGAATAAACCATTGTTTAAATTTTATATTGCAGGATGTGAATGACAATGAACCAGTTTTTAACCAGAGCACCATTTTTGTTGCTGTAACTGAAGATCAGCTAGGTAAGAGGTACATTTTTGAGATGGATAAAAAATTAAACCCAAATAATCGAACTCAAATGTTAGTAAATAGTTCAGTACATGATGGAAACTTACCCCCAAATTAACCAATTTCCATCAAATTTATCTGCATGCTATAAAATGAAGAAAGATTTAGTCATTGTCAGGAAAATTGATGTTTGTTTTTACACAGTGAGATCATAGCCACAATTATTTGCAGAAATAACAAATGGGGAATGCCAAAAATGTGATTCCACGTAAGGATCTGGAATTTCCTTCACATTTGCACATAGAGACTTTGTTATCTGGGCATGCACCAGTTTCATAGACAAAATATCATTGATTTTCCAGCATAAGAGAGTTGCTTATTAAATGCAGTAATCCACAACCCCTCATCCCCACATCCCCTTGATCATTTATGCTGACAATCCCTCCATACAATTTAGTTGCCACGCACAAAATTGGCCACATACCCCTTTACTTTGAAATACGAGCCTCTACGTACACTTGTTTGAGTGAAGTTGTGTCTTAAGTTCCAGAAATTCAGATCGGTCAGAAACCCTATGTTCCAACCTGATTGGATTTAAAATTACCCACTTACCTTTTGATGTCTTCTGTGCTGGAGATTCCTGGACAGGGACTTCCTGTCATGAACCTGTCTGGGAATCCTTGAGTCCAGAAGCAGAGAAAATCATGGTCGGACGCACATTCTCTGCTGTTATGTGCCCAGCCATTGTCAGCTATTGTGAAAGGGTATACACATAAAGTAAGTCAGAAAATGGGTGCTATGGGCGATGGAGAGTGGATGAGTATTTATAATGTCAGCTATGTAAGGCTTTATAAAAGAACAAAAGAACAAAAGAGAAGTACAGCACAGGAACAGGCCCTTCGGCCCTCCAAGCTTATGCCAATCATCATGCCCTAACTCATCTAAAAAAAACCTTCTGCCCTTATTCAGTCCATATCCCTCTATTCCCTCCATTTTCATGCAACCATCCATGATCGTGTCAGGTGGATGAGGGAGGTTAGGTGCCTGGTGGGAGAGGTGGAAGGATGAGGGAATCAGAGTGCCATTTGAGTGAGGGGATGAGGAGCAGGGTGCTAAGGGTGCAGTGTGTCATGGTGCCGGTAAACGGATGAGTGCTTATGGTGGGTCAGAAGTCAGAATGTGCGAGTGGCTGGGTTGGGTTCAGTGGGGTTGGGTAAGGAGAGGGGAGACACAGGGATGACAAGTTGGGATGGAGGTGAACACACAAATGAAAATATCAAAAAGGGCCAGAAATAGACCATTTGTCTCACTGAGTCTGCTCCACCATTGAATATGATCATGGCTGATGTATTTGTGTTTTGAGTCCCACATTCCCATCTAACCCCTGAGCATTCTTGATTCCCTTGCCCAAGAAAAATCTATCCACTTCTATTTTTAAAAAAATACAATGACACTGTCTCCAGTGCCTTCAGGCAGAGAGTTCCAAAGTCACACAAATGCTCCAAGGGAATACAAATACTCTTCATAGAATCTCTACAGTGTGGAAGCAGGCCATTGGGCCCATTGAGTTCTCACTGATCCTCTGAAGAGCATCCCACCCCCTGTCCTCTCCCTGTAACCCTGCATTCCCATGGCTAACCCACACAGTCTGCACATTCCTGGAGCACTATGGGTAATTTAGCATGGCCAATTCACCTAACCTGCACATCTTTGGACTGTGGGAGGAAATGGGAGCAGCCGGAGGAAACCCATGCAAACGAGTGGAGAACGTGTAAACTCCACACAGTGTAAACAGCCACCCGAGGTTGTAATCGATCACATGTCCCTTGTGCTGTGAGTTAGCAGTACTAACCATTGAGTCACTGGGCTACCCCAAATCTCTGACCTGAAGGGGCTGACCCCAAATTTTCAAACGGGTCCCCTAGTTCTGAAGCCACTCCACTAAAGGAAACATCCTTCCCATGTGCAACTGATCAAGAAGATTCAGCATCTTACACACTTCAGTCAAGTCACCTCTCAATCTTCTAAACTCCAGTAGAAACAAGCCCAGCCTGTCTAACCTATCCTCATAAAAGAACCCATCCGTTCTCAGATATCAATTTAATAAAGCTCCTCAGAATTACCTCCAATGCATTTACATCCTTCCTGTGTCAGGGCAGGCGGGGTGGGGGTGGAGGCTTGGGGATGGCTGGAGTGGGAGCCGTGGGGGGATGTCAATTCAGGCCAAGGCGTGAGGTGTGGTAGAGGGCTGTTAGGTCCAGTAGAGTGTCAAGAGTCTTGGTGGGGTCGGGGATATATTTGGTGGTGGGGGATTAGGGTGACTTACTGGTTCAATTTCATAGTTACCCAGGAATTCAAAGTTTAATCCTCCAACATTTCCTGGGTTACTATCACAACTTTAAGAGGCCATTTTGGAGAGTTCCAGACTCTGGGACATCGTCCATTGGAATTTTCAGTTTCCTGGGAAATTCCCTTGGAGTCAGTTGTGTCGGGATTTCCACATGATTCTGACTAACGTGGTGGCCATTGAACATACCTTGGCCTGATCTTTGATTCAATTGCTCTTTGTGGGACCTTGCTATGTGCAAATTGAATGTTGCTACATTACTACACTTGGGCGGCACAGTGGCTCAGTGGTTAGCACGGCTGCCTCACAGCGCCAGGGACCCGGGTTCAAATCTACCCATGGGCGACTGTCTCTGTGGACTTTGTACGTTCTCCCCGTGTCTGTGTGGGTTTCCTCCCACAGTCCAAAGATGTGCAGGCTAGGTAGATTGGCCATGCTAAAAAGCATTAAGGTGGATCCTAACTTTTTGTTTCTCCAGTAGACTGGTACAGTCTCCAGGGTAATGCTGTCAAACCAGGAAATGAGGATTACCTTTAAGTTTCAGATTGGGATCTTGATATGATGCCTAAAGAAAAATGCTCCAGGAAACTTGAGGTCGGGAGTCTTGGACGTGAAATATACAGGAAATTCTGTCGATTGTTGACTCCATAGTTTATCATTCATGGGGTTGGGAATGGGGAGGTAAGGGGAGGGTCTCTGGTCCAGTGGCAGGGAAGGAGTGAGTGTTGGTTCCCAGGGGAGAGGGGTGTGTCAGATCCCATTAGGGGTAAAGGAATATCAGCTTCTGGGGGTGGAGAGCGGTATGTCCAATCAGGGTCTGAGGAGTATAAGGGTTCTTGGGGAGGAGTCGTTGAAGGTGGGTATGGTAAGCTAGGGGTGTCATCGTAATAGTTATCTGGGTTTCTAATCGTCTAAATTTGCTGAGGAACTATTTACTCAACCACAGCAGAGCCCTCCAAATTATTTGATTTAAATGGATACTTTCAGGGGGTTCCAGGTACTGTGGAACTGCCCGGCAGAATCTTCAATCTTCCATGCAGTTCTTTCAGAATCTGCCACATCAGGGATTCCAGCAACTCCAATCTACACTGCAGTCACACCCAAAATGTCTCATGATGCAACATTTTAAATTCTACATGAATATAAATTGAACAGAATTTTCACGTTTTGGCTTCACAAATGGAAGTTCACTTTCGTGGTTCGCCAATGGAAAACTTCAGTTTCTATGATATTTTGAAATAAATTAACTGAGTTTTTTTCTTCCAGATCAGTGCATTGTTTCCATATGGGCCTTGGATAATGATGTCACTGATCCAAACCGATTATTGATCTACAGAATTGAAGATGGGGCCAGGGGACAGTTTATTATCAGCACAGAGAAGAGAGAGCTGCATCAACCTGCTGCATGTATCCGGGTAAATCCAGAGTCTAGACTTGATTACGATGGTGGGCCACGTAAGTATAGACTGAGAGTGGCTGCCAGCGATTTTGGGTTCAATCCCAACACCGGCTACACGACAGTTGAAGTGGATATCTTGGACGTCAATGACGAAACTCCTGTTCTGATTGGAAGTTCACTCTCTAATGTGTTTGCAAGAGAAAATGGAAGAATTAATGCAACAGTCACTGCCATTCAAGCTTTTGATCCAGACACTGATGCAGAACTGCACTTCTTTATTAGAGGAACTGAGTGCCTCGATGAGGACGAGGAAAGGCTGAGTAGTTCACTCTGTAAAAACTGGTTTCAAGTGATGGAGCAATCAGGGTTTTTGCTTTACAGTGGTTCAGTCGACCGTGAAAGTGTCCAGGCTGTTCGACTCAGAATACAAGTTGTGGACTACAACACTGTTCTCTCTTCAAATATGAGCGAGGAAGGTCAGTTCCATTTGCAAAGTGGTTTAGAAACTTTTTAATGTGCTTTCTGCACAAGTAGAGATTGAAATCTGCGTGCACTGCTCAGATTTTTAAAGCATTCAAGTATCAAGGCAATATGCACCCAATCTATGCCGTTATTGGTGCCTAAAGTAGTCTCGGTCTCTTAACTGTCTGTTAAAGGCTTTTTTTTCAAAATTTGACAGTAATGCATTGCCCCTTCCAGAATGCTTCATTTTTCCCAATGATCACAATTATGATTAACACATCCAAATCTCAAAGACTATTGCTAGTCCCGTCCACAATGACCCCCCACACCCCCAAAAAACAGTCAACGCTCACCAGCTCACTCCTTAGAATTAAACTAGTTCTCACTAGTATGACAGAATTCCCATGTCTGAAGTCTTGCACAGATAATGTAAAGAAATGATAGTTGATATCTGTGTGTTATTTCATAACGAGGTGACAATCTCTTGTTTAATTTTATCAGTATTTCAGTCAAATACCAACTAAACTCTACAGAGCTTTTCTTAACATCTTCCACTGAACGTGTGAAGAGTTTTCCATTATTAGTTATAATAGTTCTCATTCTGTAGAGTGTATAGCTACTCCTATTAGGAGATCTGCTTTATTCGTATGTAACATTCGACTGTCTTGCACTATCTTCATATATTTACTGTAGCTCATCTGCAATCACTCTGTGATGTTGATCAGCCAGCTTTGTTTGGATCAATCCCTCTTTCTGTTGCCCTCCACTCTGTTCTTTCGAAGAGGTCTCTGACTAAATTGTTAACTCATGTTTTTCAGGGCATATCAAAATAATCATTGCTGACGAAAATGACAATCCACCTGAATTTACCAGGATGGAAAATAAAAGTGGTGAGTAGTGATGTGAATAGTTTTGGTCTCCTTGCCTAAGGAAAGACATATTGGTATTGAAGGCAATCCAGAGAAGATTCACTCAGTTAACCCCACATATGAAAGCATTTTCTTATGAGGAGAGGTTAAGTAATTTGGGCTTATGTTCATTGGAGTTTAGAAAATGCAAGGAACCCTAATAGAAAGATATAAAATTTTAAGGGGGCTTAATAAGGAAGATGTGGAGAGGTTCTCACAGTGCCAGGCACCCGGGTTCAATTCCAGCCTCAGGCAACTGTCTGTGTGGAATTTGCACATTCTCCCCGTGTCTGCGTGGGTTTTCACTGGGTGCTCCGGTTTCCTCCCACAGTCCAAAGATGTGCAGGTTAGGTGGTTTGGCCATGCTAATATGCCCATTGTGTCCAGGGATGTGTAGGTTAGGTGGATTAGCCATGGGGAATGCAGGCTTTCAGGGATAGTGTAAAAGGTTGAGTCTAGGTGGGATGCTCTTTGTAGAGCCGGTGTGGACTTGTTGGGCTGAATGGCCTGTATCCACACTGTAGTGGTTTTAAGATAAGTTGTTTCCCCTTCTGGGAGAATGGCTGTCCATTTATAACAGAGGAGGAATTTCTTCTCTCGAAGAGTAGTGAATCTGTCGAATTCTTCACCACAGAGGCCTGTCGAGGTTGGGTTGTTAGGAATGTTCAAAGCTGAGATAGACAGATTTCTGATCATTTTGGGAATCAAGTGTTATTGGGAAAACACAGAGAAGTGGAGTATAGGATTATTAGATTAGCCATGATCTTACTGAATGGTGGAGTGGACGCAATGGGATGAATGGCCTTCATCTTATAAACCTATGGTGGTCTTATGATTATCCAGTATAAAAGAAAATGGTGTAACAGCCATGATGTTGAGAATAACATGTTTCCTATGGACGTATCAACCAGAGTCGGCCATTCTGGCTCTTCATTGAGAATGAAAAATGTGAACTGTTTCAGCAACAGAATATCAAATCTACTGTAGCAATCCCCTCTCACTCTAATTCAGTGCATCATAATTTAAAGTTTATTTATTGGCCGTGGGGCATCTAAAATCATTTGAAGACAAAGGCTTAGTTTCAGCCCATCTGATACCTGAAGATCCTGGTTTCCAGAAGATGGTTATGACTGGATTCAACAGGCCAAAAACCATCTACTTTCTACTTATCTTGCTGCCAAATCACTGGGCACAGGATTATAGAATGATGACTCTTCAGATTCTAAGTATCCCATTCTCCTTTGAAGGCTTCAGTTGAATCTTCTCCAACCAAATTCTCAGCCACTGCTTTGTAGATCTTAACAGCTGTTTATGTTACCATTTCTTTTTTGCCAAGGACATCAAATTCTGTTCTGACGAAGAGTCACCAAACTCAAAACGTCACCTCTGCTTTCTCTCCCACAAATGCTGCCAGACCTGCTAAGTTTCTCCATCAATTTCTATTTTTTTTTCAGTCTCCAGCATCATGGTTCTTTTTCAATATTAAATCGGTGTTCCGTTTCCATGTTGAGAGAAAATAAAGATTTAAATATCAATTACCATCTTTATTATGTTTTAAAAAATCCCATTTGTTAAAGCCTGTTCAAAGTTATAAATCTTGTGTGTTTAATACCTTTTATTCGTACCTCACGTCATAAACAGCTAATCTCTTTTAAAAACTCTTTAAGTTGTTAATCAAATTGTTGTGATAATTATAGCTTATAGAAAACAACCAGGAAATACAGGGAAATGTAGCAAACAGCTCTCGTAACTGCTAAATCGTTTTTTTTTTAACTTTCACTTACTTAGGCAGCCATTTTTAACTTTTAAAGGGCTGGCGATTCAAATAACTTCACATCATGACATTTCTACAGGATTTATCTGCCCTTCATGTGCATTTCTGTCAACTCCAAAAAATTGTGACTTCAGCACGAGGTCTCTAGTGGAAATGTGGTCTGTTTGAACTCAGTACTGATTTCAAATGACCCTGCTGTGTTTGAGTTTCCCTCGGGTGTGAGGCACACCCTAACTCATTGGACCAACCAGCAAAACTAGGATCTTTCAGAATTGGATGTTGGACTTCTGCAACTGCGTTCCACCAGCCATTTATAAAGGTCCACGAAACTCCCAGGACTTTGTGAAAATCCAGCATTCCCTTCCTAGAAACCTTACACTTCCCATGATCTTCATGGTCCTGAGTAAATACTGGAGCCTCTCTCTGCACTTGTAAAGCTAGGGAGAGAAAAGTGAAATGTTCAAATAAGTTCAAGACTATGGGGATCAATGACTAAGCAATGGAACGTGCAGTTGGTTATACCTATCTTTAACATCTAAGGCTGAAGATTTACCAGGGGTGTTTGCAAGTTCCCATAGCCCGGTGTTGCAAGATAAGGCTACAGGTCAAATGTGGACTTGGCCCATGAAAATTCCTTGGTTTAAATGTCCTCAGGTCACTTATACTTTCCAGAAGAACCCTGGCTTCTGCCAAGGATTCTCACTGTCAGAGGAAGGTTGGAGATGATCTGTGGCATTCTGCACACAGTCGCTTCAACCTCATTGTGTTGCCGTAGCAACGTTGGACACAAGGGACAAACTGGCAACTTGTACCAAATTATAGTTGGCAACATTTTATCATCACATTCACCACGTTCATTCGTTTAGACGTATAAAGGCTACCTTGTCACATGTGGCACAAATAGTAGGTAATACACGTTCTTTCCCAGTCTCTACTGATATTACTCCACTGCTGGCCACAAATGGTGGACGGAGGCTGGAGGTTCCTGGCACAGCTCCATAAAATTCCTGGTCTTCCAGGAGTACTGAAAGCTGCACCAAATGGTTAAAATTCAGCCTTTCTCAACTCTCCAGCCTCAGAATTTTTATATAGCTGACGCTTTCATGTTTGAGGGAGAAACAGGCCAGGAAACCATAGAATCGCAGAAAAGTTACAGCGCAGAAAGAAGCCATTCAGCCCATCATTCAGAATAAGAGTTAGCCACTCATCCCAAGCCAACATTCAAGCACCTACTCCATGACCTTGCAGGTTACAGCACTTCACATTCAGATCCAGGAACGCTTTAAATGAGTTGAGGATTCCAACCACCAAACCAGGCAGCAGTTCCACATACCCACACATCTCTGGAAAAGGGAAGGAGTGAAAAAGAATGAGGGGGAGAGGGTGCAGGTATATTTTGTGTATGTCTCATTTCCTTGAGTGAATGCAATGTTTTTATTTGACTTAGCTTTACTGTCACATGAGTACAGTGAAAAGTTTACAAGCCGCCATTTGCAGCGCCATCTTAGGTACAAAGATACCTGGGTACAGATTCCTGAGCACAAATTCTTGAAAAGAAATTAGAAAAGTAAAGAAGTAAAATGTTCAGCATTACCGGCCTTCAAATGTACAAAATCATAGCCATAAATTAGGTCAATGAAGAAATAAAAGTTCAGAAGCATAAAGGGACTAAATTTTGTGTAGGTGATATCTCATTTTTGGGCCTTGTGCTTTTGCGTATGGTAATCTTGTGCTTTTCTCCTATGAGAGTGTCTACGTTTTATGTACTCATGTTTGTGTGTTGTTGTATATGGCAGCTGTCATTTTCTTTGCATTGGGAATGACAATTTTTTTGCATACGGGATTCCAAATGATTATCATGTGATACATATATAAAAATTACACGTTCAGCCTTGGCCCATTTTGCTTAGTATCCAAATCTCATAGTCTGTAACAATTCTGTACTACCTCTGCAGTGAACTGTGCAGACTTAAATTGAAATATTGTCTCTGTCTCAGGAAAGTGACTTCCACGCACTATTCTCCTGCTTTACATGAGTGTTGCCTGCCATTGACCAGAGACACACATCTCCAAAGGAGACCAGGTCATACAAAATTACCACCCCTTACATTTACTTTCCTGCAACAAGGAGTCTTTATCCAATGGCAGACGTGTGTGTTGCTCCCCTGGGGAAATTTATATGCTTTTACTGAGGAGTGCAGCCAGTAGCAGAAGAACAGTGCATCTTAAGTTGATTACACTGTTGTAATGGGTCTAGGACTCCTTAATGGCCTCTTTGGCATCTGCCTGGCTGTTGTACATAAGAGATATTTGATACCTTTTCTCAAATACTACTCAGCTTTTCAGAAAGTCTTTGATTAATCACAGCATTGTGTAATTGTACATTTATACCTTCTTAACTTTACATTCCTAACTTTCCTCAATTATATAGACAGTTAGTGCTATTATTTTCCATGTAAAGTATGTTAAACTTTAGGATGAATCCATTAACCTAAAATTCCCAGACTTTGCAGTATGTTCTTTCTTGTCGACTATTCAAGCCAAATTGTGGAAATGAATCCTTGCACTTGGCACCATTCATGGACTTATAAACCCGTGTTGCCTCTCCTAGACATCCTCAGCTCACTCTGTGCTCTGCCGTTTACTTTCTTACCTTCCAAGCAGGGAATACATTTATACAGAGCCTTGGCTAGACCACACTTGGAGTTCTGTGAACAGTTTCACTCTTTATGTATTGTGAAAACAACCTTGAAGCCCTGGAGGAAGAGCAGAAAAACATTACAAAGTTGTTACCAGAATTGAGAAGGCTCAGTGTGTACCATGGAAAGTTGAACAGCCTGTAGCTCTTTACACTGGAAAGGAAAAGGAAAAAGCAAAGCTGATGCAAGTCTTAGAATCATCCACGAAATCCAATCTTTTGTTGTATGGTTTAATGTCAACTTCCATGAGTTTGGGTTTGGGACAGGCTGATTCAAGAGAAGATATTAACTAACTTAAGGCTTGAAATTCTTTGTAAGACTGTTTATTACATATGAAAACTAAACACTACAATACATGGTATTCAGTGATATACCAGGCTCTAATCTTATTGTTACATTATTGAAAGACAGTTCCATGAACTCCACATGCTTCTGACCTTTTTTCGAAGTCCATCCATATTGTGTTATATATGTCCAGTGAAGAGCTACTCCGTGACATCATTGCGAGG